ACTGCGGATTGTGAGGCTCTCAAGAGGGTGTTACGGTATGTAAATGGGACACTACATCTTGGTCTTAAGATTGCTTCTTCTCCTTCTCTGGATATTCATGCATATTCTGATTCGAATTGGGCTAGCAATCCTGATGATCGCAAATCTACTAGTGGTTTTGCTGTGTTTTTGGGGACCAATCTTGTTTCATGGGTTTGTCGAAAACAACGTACTGTGGCTCGTTCATCAACTGAGGCTGAATACAAAGGACTGGCTGATGTCTCTACAGAGGTTACTTGGCTTGTCTCTTTGATGAAGGAAATCGGGTTTGCGCCGCCTTCTGTGCCCAAACTCTGGTGTGATAATCTGGGAGCTACTTATCTGTGTGCTAATCCGGTGTTTCATGCTCGCACCAAGCACATTGATATTGACTACAACTTTGTTCGTGATAAAGTCGCAAAGACGGAATTGCAAGTCAATTTTATTTCTACCAAAGATCAGATAGCGGATATTTTTACTAAGTCTCTTTCGTCTGTGCGTTTTAATTTACTCCGTTGCAAGCTCAATGTTTTGGCTGCCCAGCCTTGTGCTTGAGGGGGAGTATTAGGATTCTAATAGTAGTATTAGACTAGATCTCTATTATATTAGTAGTATTAGACTAGATCTCTATTTCATGTCTTTATATACTTTGTATCCGGCTGCTTTTGATCAATACACAGAAAATATATTCTCATCCATAGATCTTCAGAGAGATCAAATTCTTTATAAATATTACACTTCTCGTATAAATATTACATTTCTCGCATAAATAATTCTCCAACTCTTAATATTAAATTTTGATTTAAAAATATCATATTTTCGTAGTAATTATTATATTTTCTCTTATAAGTAAGAATTAAACAATTTATCTATAAATAATATTACATTTGATTATTTTCAAAAAAAAAAATATTACATTTGACTTTTGTAACAAACAATTTATTTCTGATTAATATTACATTTTTCAGCATAAAGTATTACATCTTTACATTTTCATCATGATCCAACTCATTTCACATATAAAAATTCGTGACACGATCTCACAGAAGAATCACTCGTACATTACATATTACAAACTGCTAAATAGAATTCATCCAATACCACATAATTTTTTTTTATCAAATTTGGTTAATTAAAAAAATAATAAAAATAGAACTAGCAATTTAAAATTTTGAGATGCAATATTAATTCATTCTTTGAAATTTACATAAATGCATAATCATTTACAAATTCTTCATAAATGCAATAATATAGAGAGAGAAAATGCTCTCCTCATCATCATCGCTGGAAACCAGACAAAGACCACAGGATGTTCAAGAACTCCTTGAACGAAAAGGGACATAAATTATGTTAGTTAGAAAGAAAATTAATATTAATAATTGGGTGAAAATAAAAAATGATCCATAACTGATTAAAATGGAAAAGAAAATGTTCAGATAATTGGATTTTAATTTTTCACAATAATATTGCACAGTATAATACATCAAATCACAATTATGTCATAAATCTTTCATAATTTTAAACAATGGAACGGAAATTAAAAATGGAACGGAAATATTTCAATAATAATATACTACATCATCATCAAGTAAAGATAAATTAAAAATGAAAAGAAAATATTTCAATAATAATATTTTACATCATCAATAGTAAAGACATATTTTAAACAATAGTAAAGGTAAATTAAAAATGCAACGAAAATTAAAACTGAAACAAAAATATTTAAATAATAATATTCTACATCATCAATTAAAAATGGGACGAAATTGGGTAAAAATATCACTACATCTGATATTCTAATTGGCTAATTGACTAATGAGTTAATTCCAGCAATGGTCCCTCGAGTATGATGATTTTTTAAATTTGGTCCCCGTCTTTTCATTTGGACAATTTAACCACCCGTCTATTAAATTCTTTCCAATTGAGGTCCTTCCGTCAAATGGGTGTTATGTCAGCGTCAATTTCAGGGGCATTTTGGTACATTTACTTGATATGCGTATTTGTACTCTTTAATACGTGAAATATACGCGAATAAATACTCATCAAAGCCCTTAGAAGTCATTCATCGTCTCCCTTAGAGGTCTGACTACATCTTCCTCATCGAAGCCCTAGAAGTCTGAATTGATCTTCCTCATCGAAGCCCTTGAAGTCGGAATTCATCTTCCTCATCGAAGCCCTAGAAGTCCGAATTATCTTTCTCATCGAAGCCCTCATCCGAATTCATCTTCCTCCTCCGAATTCATCTTCCTCATTAAAGCCCAACTCTGAATTCAACTTCCTCTTCCTTCCAGCGAATTAGCAGCGAGATGGATAGAAGATATAGCAGCGAGAACTCTTCATCTTCAAGAATGCAGGAATACATATATGGTGAGTTGGTTTCCATTCCAAATTGTGAGTGTGGGCAACGTCTGAAGCTTCAAACATCATGGACGAATGATAATCCCGGTAGAAGATATTGGCAATGTTCTATTGAAAATGTGAGTGCTTTCATTATAGTTAATGGTTCTTTTTGCAGTTGAAACAAAAAAAAAAAATTTGAGTGTGAATGTATTGTTTTTTCTTCGAGCAATACATTCTGTCAAGTATTATTTGAAGGCACAATGTCTGTTAAGTAAGGCAAATGAATTCAAAATGATATGTAATTATTGGCTTTTGGTGCAGGGAGGTCAAAGGTGTGGTTTTGTTAGATGGCATGATCCTCCAATGTGCACAAGGTCAAGAAGAATTATTCCTGGTTTATTGAGAAGGATCAATCGAGATGAAGAAGAGATTGCACTGCTAAAAATGAGGCTACAAACTAATGTTGTTGTCAAAAGAAACAAATGTGGACATGGCAAGGGTATTAGGATATGTGTAGTTATAGCAGTATGCATTGTGTTATTTGCAGTTATAGTTGTGAACGTAACTAGAGGAAAAAATAACCTTATGTTAAGTAGTAGTTATGCTTATTGAAGAATTGTATTTGTAATTTGACAATTGTGAGTCTAAGCACAATGCAATCAAAATTGAGTTATGGTTTTTTGTATTAAATTGCTTCTGACAATGCATAATGCATACCATATTTGCACACTGCATACTGCGATCTGAAGGCCAAATACCATTTATAACAAAAATATCATATAAATATAATCATTACAAATGTATTTCAAAACATAGTAGATAGATCCCATTACATATCTAAAGGTCTGTAGACCCCAAAACACATCATAATTGGCATATAAATCCCATTACAGATCAAAAGGCAATTATCTAAGCCAACATTAACACATGCCAAATAGTGACCTAACAATTCATAAAAGTCACTAATCCAAAAAAGCAGTAACTAGTAGTTCCCTTAATCCAAAGTGATTGGATCTTTGTCATTCCCATAGAATTTAGACTTGAATGTGGTTGATGATCTTGTACGATGCTTCTTGATTGGTAATTTCTTCCGAGTAGACTTGGTTCCATCACTTTGACATTTTCTTTTTCCTGTTACTTGGTGGTTTGCATCAATTTTATTGTGTTGTTGATATGCACATAGTAATAGATTAGATGAAATTATAAGGTGTGTTTTGACATTATAAGTGCACTGAATGGACTGGTTGTATAACTTACAAGGCACATTTGCTTGCATTGATTCTCCCACAACAGTGACTGGAATGGACAGACTGGAACTTAGTGAAGGCCCTACAATACATAAGAGTCAAATATTTGCATTTAGATGGCACATGGATAAGCAGTATAACATACCTCTAACAATGTCCTCTGCCTCAATTTGGATTTGGTGCCATTGCTCATCCAATATCTCATCTGGAATCTCCCATTGAGTCTCTTGAATTTCAGGTTGAGTAATTACATCAGGTTGGACTTCAGGCTGAGCAGCTTCATGGATTTGGGAATGAGCAGCATCATGGACTTCAGGCTGAGCAGCAACTTCATTTGTAACAGCAACATGTACTCCTTTTGTTGACCTACAACTTGATTTTCTTCTTTTGACCTGCAAATTCATTATGTTATTTAACACAACAAGTTTAGACAAATTTAAAGTCAAATGTGAAAGTATCTAACCTGATTGGCAAGCCTGGCAACTGGGTATTTTGGACACTTTCTTTGGTTATGACCCAATTCCTTGCATTTGGTGCAATGTAAAGTAACAAGGCTCCTAGACAAATACTGCCCACATTTACTTATCTCTCCTGCAGACTTCATCCTCAACTTTCTAGGCCTTCCAGGCCTTGCAAATTACAGTGGTGGCAAAGGAGGTGGTCTACTTGTTGCAGGCCACTCTTCATGACCAGACATTGGTTTTATACATCCATCATATGTTTGGCAGTAAGTGGATATTGAGTAGCAAGGATCCACATAATGCCAAATAGGTCCTTTCCCATTTTTCATCCATATTGCACACACATCATGGGGGCAAGGGATTCCAGTTAGGTCCCATCTCCTACAGGAACAAGATCTTCTACCTAGATCAACAGTATACTGCCCGGTATGTGTCCCAATTACCTGAAACAACATGGGAGCACACTGATAGCCAATCATTCCACCTGCAGCTTAACTTAATGTCATCAATTTTTTTCACAATAGTTGGACAGAGTAATCCAGTCCATTCAGCAGCTTTAGTCCTTGACTCAAATAGCCTTAGCATGATCTTTTTCCTAATTATCTCCAAGCAATTAATAACAGGACTTTTCCTTGCTGTCAAGATCATTGCATTGAATGATTCTGAGATCTTATTCACTAGGATGTCACAATTGGCAGCTGTAGTGAAGTGGGATCTTGACCACTCAGATGGGTGCTTATCACCAAGCCAAACATAAGCATTTTCATCCAATTTTCTTAACTCAAGTAGTGCTGTTGAAAAGTTATTCACAATAATGGCTCTTGCTGCTTTCCACAAGGCATCCTTTATAGCATTAGCAGTGAAACCAGCCACCCTCATGTTATTGTGCAAGTGTCTGACACAAAATCTATGCCTAACTCCTTGTAAGGTACTTTCACAAGCTTGTATGAGACCCTTTTTGCTTGTCTGACATTAGTGTGTACTCACTCTGTACTAAGGGACCAAGCTTCAAGTCTTTCTTTAGAAACTGTAGAAACCAAGTCCAAGAGTCTTTGTTCTCACCTTCTACAACTGCATAGGCAATTGGGAATAAACTTTCATTTGCATCTATTCCAACTGCTGTCAACAATTGTCCTCCAGTTTTACACTTCAAGTGACACCCATCTAGGTCAATGATTTTCCTGCAGTGCTTAAATCCTTCCCTTGTAGCTTCCCAACAGATATACATCCTTAAAAATCTCTCTTTTCTATTTTCTTTAAGGTCACTCACCTTCACTTCACAAGTACAGTTTGGATTAGTTCTTTTTATTTCCAAGACATAGTTCCAAATCTTATTGAAGTAATCTTCTGCTTCATGTTTAATTTCACCTTTTGCTTTCACTAAAGCCCTCCATGCTTGCTTCTTACTCAGAATGTAATGGCCATCGGTTAGGACTTTTTCTAAAAATGAATTAGTTTTCCATTCCAAATTTCCTCTAATTTGCTGTTTCCATCTCTTAGCAACAATAGAGGAATTGACCATTGAATTATTCTGAGTCCTTACACAGCCATCATGTTTGTCCTTCACCACTGATACCCTCCAACATTTATCATCTTTATTAAACCTAAGGGTAACCTGCCAAGGACAGCTTTCATGCTTGCACTTCACCACACATCTAACTTTGTCATTTTTGTGATATTTCATTTCCTTCCCCTCCTTGATTGCATAATTTGTTATAGCTTCACTAAACTCCCCTTTATCTTCAAAGGTCAGTCCCAATTCAAATTTAGGACAAGTACGTTCAGATTCTTTCAAAAACTTTTGCCATTTGATCCCTATACCCTCACCATCACTGCCTACCATGTTCCCTTCATCAGAGTAGTTGACAATATCATCTACTGGTGGGGGTTGTATGGGTTGTGGGAGTTGGGGTTTTACATTGTAACACCCCAGATTTTCAAGACTTTTAAAACTTATATAATAAATGTAGAATCTCATTAAATCTCAAAATACGATACAATGAGTACGGGGTGCTATGCCACACCTGAGCTGGAGAACTCGGGTGCACAGGCTAACTAACTAATATCCTTAATAAAGGGAATGCATAACATGGCACGCAGGCCGAAAGGAAAACTATCTACGTCTATACTCCAGGGTTCTAGCGCGCTCCAGTGTCTACTCTTCCGTGCCTGAAAGCCAAATATATCTGTTCAGCGAGAGATGCTGGTAACCCACTCCAACGCGTTGAAATACAATACATATAGATATATACATAGATATACGGAAAAACCATTTCGAAGCATGAAGATATATCCTGAGAGACTCTAGATTTCAAATCAGGGAATAGACTCGACAGATAGGGGTAATCACAACTAACAGGCATAACCAAGCGTAGACAATTTACAAGCATGCGATAGATAAACACAACCAATAATCATAAGCAAGCATATACAGTTTACTAGCATGTATCCTATGGTCACGTTTTCATAACAGTCATAACATCAATCCTCCTGATCTCGTCACGTAACACACTTTGTTGGCGCCACAGGACCAATCGCATGCCCATACATGAGGGTCAGCGCATATAGCTCTGACACGGCCCCGCAGCACCCTGCCCCGTATCGCAACACGGAGGGGTCGATCGCAATCGACCGATGAACCGCAGCTCATCATAGTTTGATCGCAACCAAACAGTGGACCGCAGCCCAAGAGTATGTCATTTGACCGCAGCCAGGAAAATGAACCGCAGCTCATGTAGAACGTTTGATCGCAACCAAACGATGGACCGCAGCCCTATATAATATTTATATACCTGACCGATCGCAACCGGCCTGGTTAACAGTCAGTATGGTTCTCAACCCATCCAACTGCCCGTATAACCAATTTGATCGCAACCAAATTGGGGTAACATGCACACATAACACATAGCAAGTACATGCAGCTCACATTAGCACATTGGGAAGGGGGAAGAAATCATATAACGAAACCTATGCGTGGTCATCCACATACTAAGAATAATCCTAAGGGGTTCATACTTCTCATACCTAGGTCAACGGGATACCGATTCACTAGCATGCAATATATATATATAAGACTTATTCAACCTACGAATGGTACCCGAACATCAAACTAGACATAGGCACGATGGACGGAGTCCGTTGGGACGCCACGGGGGTCGGGGGAACATCAAACGGGGAAGCCGGAAACCCGAGGTAGGGTATTTTCCAGCGGTTAGCCGGTGGGTGAGGGTTCACCCGTCGGCTGCCCGCCGGTGGCGTGACTCCAGGCAGCGGGTGCCCGGCGGGCAGCTGCCCGCTGCCGGCGTTGCCCAAATGGGCCGCGGTTAGGTGGCGGGTCCCCTACCCCCACCTACCCCCCACTGACTCTTTTTCACCAAAAACGCCCCGGGAACCTTTGTGGAACCTGAAACCATGCTTAGACACTTTCAAACGCAATTGATAACACACGTAGACAATTAACGGATCAAAATCAAGAAACATATGGCACCAATCCTATCGTGCTTTTCTAAACATAATTAACACCCAAACATGTGAATTCCCACCCAATACACCAAGAATAATACCACACGAATTTCACGATACAACTTAGGGTTCTAATCACTTTTAAATTAACAAGAACACAATTCATCCTTTAATATCAAGATTCGGTAGGAATATCACGTAAACATCAAGGACATCATACAATTATCAAGAACATCATATAATCATAAAGAACACCATATAATCATCAAGAACCTCTCAAGATCACCCATGGAATCACAATGCCAATTATCAAGATCAATATAACGAATCATCAATCACACATGAATATGGGGGAAATCCTAAGAGGGGAATCATAGCTATGAAAATAGGTTTTGTTGAGACATGGGTTACCTCTTAGCCTTATTTAATTCCTTGGCTATGAAGGGTCTTTCTTTAAGCTTCCTTCTTTCTTGATATCTCCTAAGGGAGTTCTTGGAACTCTTTGGGTGGTGAGAGATTATTGTGGTGGGGGTTCTAGGTGTCCCTTATGTCCCCTATTTATATACCTAGGATTCCTAATTAAGGTCTAATACTGTGGGCTTACTAATTCTATTCCTTTTAGGGCTAGGGTTAGGTTTTAGGGGTGGGGGGGCCACGGACTATGGTGGGCCTCTTCTAAATTATTTATTGTAATTCAATCCTATTTTTAGGTAATTGATTAAATGATTTAATTGGTTTTAGGGGTCGTAACACAGGGTGTTACATACATCACCTAAGCCTCCAAACTCTGCAGTAATATCTATATTCTTGACAAATTTTTCATCATCATGCACACTTATATCCTCTAACTCATCTGAATTGTATTCCTCATCAGTACAATCCAATTCATCCCCACTGCCACACCACTCAGACCCACTGCCATCATACTCCTCTTCATTTGCACTGCCAACATCTGCATCATCACCAATCCCTCCTTTTACCATCCAGATTTCTAAGACCTTAGGACTACAACATTTGTTAAGTAAATTCCAACACTCAAAGTCTTTAACCAATTCTTGCAACCCCATCTCTGTGGCCATGAAGTACCTCAAAGTATCATCCATTGCATAACCAATCTCCCCAACCTTCTCCTTTAAACAAATTAACCCCCACTCATCTTCTACCATATCATTAAATACACTAACACTGCCTCCTAAATATTTAGCTGGTAAATCTTGACTTATCATTCCTCCATGTCTTAGTTTAAGAGTAAAAATCCCTGAAATCAATGATTCAAATTTCCAATGCACTTTAGACAACATATAATGGTCCACTGTAATGCACACAACATGGAAGTCCACTTTACACTACTTTATAGTAAATGCTTTAGAAAATAACAACAACTATGGTCCCCAACATGTGCATAATCAGACCAACATTGGTCCACACACCATTTTCAACCACAAAAATGTCCCCACATGTACCTATGGTCCCCACATGTACCTATGCTAAGCACAATATACAACAGACAACACAGAAATTATATACTAAACAACACAACACAGACATTCGGACCCACATGTACCATTTCGTTCTCCTACACCATAAAAACAAGTCGGGGAACCAAACTTACCTGCTGGAGCAGAGTTGCAACCAACGCTAGCTTGCTTCCCTCTCGATTCCATCAATGTTCTTCGTTCGTTCTCTCTCAAGCTTCAACGCTAGACTGCGATTATGGTTTAAGATGGGGAAATTTGGGGATTTTCATTACCTAGCTTGCTTCCTTCCTTCTCAGCTACTGCGATTAGGGTTGGGCAAATCAAAATGATTTTATAGAATAAATTGGGTATTTCAGAGCATCTCAGCGACTGCGTATAAGATGGGTATTTTTTTATTTTATTTCACGTATTAAAGGGTACAAATATGCATATCAAGTAAATGTACCAAAATGCCCCTGAAATTGACGCTAACATAACACCCATTTGACGGAATGACCTCAATTGGAAAGAATTTAATAGACGGGTGGTTAAATTGTCCAAATTAAAAGACGGGGACCAAATCTGGAAAATCATCATACTCGGGGGACCATTGCTGGAATTAACTCTTGACTAATTGACTGAAAATAAAAAAGAATAATTGGCTGAAATTCTGAAAATGAATATGATATTACTAATTGACAGAAAATATAAAAGGAAATGAATATTAATAGTTGACTGCAAATAAAAAAAATGATCCATAATTTACTAATATGAAAAATAAATGTTTAGATCATTGCATTTTTATTAAAAATAGAACATAAAATAAAATTGGACGGCAATATTTCAATAATAATATTCTACATCATAAATAGTAAATACATATTTTAAACAATAGTACATGTAAATTAAAAATGGAACAGAAATATTTCAATAATAATATTACACATCATCAATTAAAAATGGAACGGAAATTAGGTAAAAATAACAGTGCATATGATATTATAATTGACTAATTGACTAAAAATAAAAAAGAATAATTGGTTGAAAATGAATCTGATATTACTAATCGACTTAAAATATAAAAAGATCGCTAATTGAGCAATATTCTACCATTATATATTTTCACCCGAGTCACCCATCTTGGTGGACTGATGGTGTTAGCTCTAAACGATGATGGACAAGATTGTGTTGCTACTACCAATGTCGTCTACAAAGAGGTTTCAATAATCACTACTGGAAATTATGAAATTTCCGACCATCTGAAATTGATCTTAAATCAAGTTGAAACCAAAAAGTGGTCGGAAATAGCAACAAAGATTTTTCCGAATACCAAAAGTGGTCGGAACAAGGTTTTCGACTTGATTTAAGATCACTTTCAGGTGGTCAGAAATTTCATAATTTTCAGTAGTGAATGTGTAAATTCAATAATTGATATTATGTTTATTTAAATGACGAAAGTGCTATATATCTAAACAAAAAAAAAATATAATTATCTTCCATACAAATGAATTAAGATAGTAATTCACTCTAGAGAACGAGCGCATTTGCCTAATTTATAAAAAAAATACTAAACAATGATAAATAAAATCTCCAAAGTTACAGCATCGCATGCATATATTTACACATTAGTTATTAATTTGAATAACTATTGCTTAAATTCAAGCAATGATAACATCAAAACACATAAATGATCCAAACTACATATTCAATTGCACTATATAATATTTGATATTCTAATTTAAATAATTAAATATCGATCTAAATATTCTTAATATATTACAACAAATTCATTTAGTGCATCGCACGAGCGAAAATACTAGTTTACTTAAATGCATAATCATTTACAAATTCTTCAAATTTAATAACAACTTTAAAGAAGCGAAGAAAAGCAATAATTTAGAGAGAGAAAAATACTCTCATCATC